ACAATCTAGATGAAATGAAAAAATTCACAGGGATGCAAAACTACCAGACTAAATCACAAAGAAAGAAAATCTCAATAGAACTATAACTAATGAGGAGAGAGTAAATCAGTGATAAAAAACAAAAAAATCTCCCAACAAAGGAAAGTTCTGGACCTGATGGCTTCACTGGTGAATTCTATCAAATACTTTAAGAACTAATACCAATACTACTGAAACTTCCCAAAAAAATGGAAGAGGAGGGAACATGTCCTAACTCATTCAGTGAGGCCAGCATAATCCTGACACTAAAGCCAGACAAGGTTGCTATAAGAAAACTACAAACCAATGTCTCTTATGAATTATTGATGCACAAATGCTCAACAAAATACTAGCAAACCAAATTGTGCAGCATATTAAAAGGATTATACACTATGACCAAGTGGTACTTTTTCTTGGAATGCAAGATGGCTCAACATACAACTCTGTCAATATAATAAATCAAATCAACAGAATGAAGAAAAAAACCCACATAATCATCTCACTTGATACAGAAAAAGAATTTGACAAAATTCAAGAACTTTCATGAAATAAACACTTAGCAAAGTAGAAATAGAGCGAAACTACCTCAAAATGATAAAAGCCATATATAAAAATTTCTCAGTGAACATTATACTTAATGGTGAAAGACTGAAAGCATTTCCTCTCAGATCAAGTACAAAGCAAAGATTCCTGCTTTCACCACTTCTTTTCAAAATAATAATAAAAGTTCTAGCCAGAGCAATTAGGCAAGAAAAAAGAAATAAAAGGCATCCTAATTGGAAAAGAACAAGTAAAATGATCTCTGTTGCAGATTATATGATCATATATGTAGAAAACAAAGATCACACACACACACACACACACACACACACACACACACACACACAATTGTTGGAAAAAATGACTTTGGTAAAGCACCAGGATACAAATTCAGCATACAAATAGCAGTTGCATTTCTATATACTAACAATGAGCAACATGAAAAGTGAGTTATAAATGAATTCCATCAAAAGGAATAAAATATCTAAGAATTAACTTAACCAAGAAGTGAGGTGTCTGGGTGGCTCAGTCGGTTGAGCGACCGACTTCAGCTCAGGTCACGATCTCATGGTTTGTGAGTTCGAGCCCTGCATCAGGATCTGTGCTGACAGCTCGGAGCCTGGAGCCTGCTTCTGATTCTGTGTCTCCCTCTCTCTCTGCCCCTTCCCCGCTCATGCTCTGTCTCTCTCTGTCTCAGAAATACATAAACATTAAAAAATTTTTTTTGAAAAGAAAAAAGAAAAAAAAAACTTAACCAAGAAGATGAAAGACTTGTATAATGAAAACTACAAAACTTTGCTGAAAGAAATTAAAGATGACACAAATGAATTGAAACACATCCCATATTCATAAATTGGAAAAGTTAATATTGTTAAAATGCCAATACTACCCAAAGTGATCTACAGATTTAATTCTATCACTATCAAAATACCAATTTTTGTTTTTGCAGAAATAGAAAAACCCAACCTAGAATTCATATGTATTCCAAGACACCCCAAATAGCCAAACAATCTTGAAAAAGAGCAAAGTTTGAGGTCTCTTATTCACTGTTTTCAAAACTTACTACGAAACTAGAGTAATCAAAAAAGTATGTTGGCAGAAAGAGAGACATATAGAACAATGGAATAGAATAGAGAGCCCAGAAATAAACCCTCACACATATGGTCAAATGATTTTTGACAAGGGTGCCAAGACCATTTAATAAGGAAAAGGCAGTCTTTTCAACAACAGGTGCTAGGAAAACTAGATATCCACATGCAGAAGAAAGAAGTTGTACCTAACACTATATGTAAAATTAATTCAGGATGGATAAAGAACCTAAATGCAAGACTTGAAACAATAAAACGCTTCGAAGAATATAAAGGACAAAGCTTCATGATGTTAGATTTGGTAATGATTTATTGGATAGGATACTAAAGGCACAGGTAACAAAAGAAAAAAAGAGAAAGACAGAAAGATGGAAGAAAGAAGGAGAAAGAAAGAAAGAAAGAAAGAAAGAAAGAAAGAAAGAAAGAGAAAAGAAGGAAGGAAGGAAGGAAGAAATTGGACTTTATGAAAATTTAAATATCTTGTGCCTTAAAAGACACTACCTACAGAGTAAAAAGGCAGCCCACAGAATGGGAGAAAAATATTTACAAATCATGTATCTGATAAGAAATTAATATTCAGAATATAACAACAAAAACCAACCTGATTCAAAAATGGACAAAGGACTTGAATAGAACTTTCTCCAAAGATCTACAAATGGGTAATGACCACGTGAAAAATGTGCAACATCACTAATCATTATAGAAATGCAAACCAAAACTACAATGAGATATCACCTCTTACATATTAGGATGGTTTCTATAAAAAAACAAACAAACAGAAAACAAGTGTTGACAAGGATGTGGACAAATTGGAATCTGTATTTGGTGGGAATGTAAAATAGAACAGTCACTGTGGAAACTGCTAGTTCCTCAAAAAATTAAAAATATTATTATCATATGATCCAGCAATTTTACCTCTGAGAATATATCCAAAAGATTTGAAAGCAGGGTCTCAAAGAAATATTTGTACACTGATGTTCATAGCAGCATTATTCACAAAAGGTAAAATGTGTAAGGAATCTACATGTCTGTTGACAGAATGGATAAGCAAAATGTGACATGTATACAAATGAATATTATTCAGCCTTAAAAAGGAAAGAAAGTCTGACATATGCTACAAAATGGATGAAATTTGAGGACATTTTGCTAACTGAAAGAAGCCAGTCACAAAAAGACCAATGCTGTATGAGGTACCTAGAGTAATCAAATACATAGGGATAGGAAGGATCCTCTGTCCAGTAGGAGGGGGAGAATGGGAATAATTAATAGATATAGAGTTCCAATTTTAGAAGATGAGAAGAGTTATGGAGATGGAGAGTGGTGATGGTTGCACAAAAGTGTAAATGTGTTTGGGGCACTTGGGGGGTTCAGTCAGTTGAGCGTCCAGTTCTTGATTTCAGCTCAGGTTATGATCTTGTGGTTTGTGGGATCGATCCCCAAGTGGGACTCTGTGCTGACAGCATGGAGCCTGCTTAGGATTCTCTCTCTCTCTTTCTCTCTCTCTCTCTCTCTCCCTGCCACTTCTCTGCGCACGTGCACACACCCTCTCTCTCTCAAGATATATAAACACTGAAAACAAATAGTAATAGAGGTACCTGGGTGGCTCAGTCAGTTGAGCACTCGACTTCAGCTCAGGTCATGATCTCACATTTTGTGAGTTCGAGCCCCACATCGGTCTGTCTGCTGTCAGAGTGGAGTTCGCTTGGGATGCTCTGTCCCCCAAGCTCTCTGCCCCTCCCCTGCTAATGTTCTCTCTCTCAAAAATAAATAAACATTAAAAAACACATTAAGATTATAAATAACAATAATCAAGTGTGAGTGTGTATAATGCCATTGACTGTACACCTATGGGTAGATGATAAATTTTATGTAATGTGTTGTTACCACAATAAAATACAGACATTAAAAAAAGAATATTTTGCCATTTGAAATATTTTCATCTTTTGAAAACAAAGATCACAGAGTTTGATAACATACTACATAGGCATGTATATTATCAAATTGTATTATCTTTGCCAAAAATTGCCAAAAATACTGAAGATGAACCTAAGTCTACAGGAAACAAGAACTGAGAAACAAATTAAACACCATGGAAAAGGGGAGACAAATCCAGAAAATGAGACATTCTATAAAACAATTGGCCTGATGTCTTCAACAAATCAGTGTCATAGAAAAAAAGTATGTGGGAGGAAAACTATTCTAAATGAAAAGAAATATAAGAAACATGAGAACCAAATGCAACGTGTGGTCTTTGATTGGATCCTAGTTTGAACAAAACAGCTACAAAATAAATTTTGGAATAATTGAGAAATATTAAATGTAGACTGGACATTAGATGAATTAAGGAATTACATTTAATTTATTATACACTTGCTAGATTGATAAAGTTATTGTGATTATGTAGGAAAATGCCATGTTTTGAATTTGTATACTTTAGGGGTAAAATATCATGATGTTTGTAATTTACTTGAAAGTATTTCAGCAAACAAGAATAGATGAAACAAATATGACAATATTTAACTATTGTTAAATCTAGGTGATGACTATATAGTATTCATTCAGTATACTAATCTCCCTAACTTTTTATGTATTTCAAATTTTTCATAGCAAATATTAAGCACATACACAGAGTAATGCTGCAGTGAAAAACCTGGTACATACCTTGAGGCTCTATCAATCACTCTAAGGTTTGCTAAGCTGTATGCTAGGCAAAAGATCTAGAACAGTATTGTTCAAATTGCAGATTGCAACTGTGTAGTCATTCCTAAAATCAATTGAAGGGGATTGTGACCAGTATTTTTTTTAAGTTTATTTATTTTGAGAGAGAGAGAGAGACAGAGCACGTGAGCAGGGGAGGGGCAGAGAGAGAGGGAGAATCCCAAGCAGGCTCCACACTGTCAGCATGGAGCCCGATGCGGGCCTCGCACACACAAACTGTGAGATCATGGCCTGAGCCGAAACCAAGAGTTGGACCCTTAAATGACATAGCCACTCAGGCGCCCCATGACCAGTGATTTCTTACACATGAAATAGAATAGAAAATATCTAAGGGTTTTCAGTTATTAAGGATGAATATTACATGGAACTTTGTTTTAATCATATGTATCAGTTACTTTTATATGTGTGTACCGATTATGATGTAAAGTCCATTTTTTACTATAACTTGTATGCAAAAAGTTTAATAGGTCGTTCGGGTGGTTCAGTATTTTCCACCAGAAGTCACTAATAATGTGCCTTCTCAAGTTTCAAGTTAATTTCTCTTAAATTTCTTTGACAATGCTTTGTTAGCTGCACCAGGGTTATCTGATGGATGACCCAGACGTGTTCTCATTTTCTTTGTTTTGATTTTTCTAGTAACTATGACTGAAGTTTTACCAAAGGAAAAGAAACAGAAAGATGAGAAGACCTTAATTCTTGGTCAAGCTGTGGTGGACCTTCTTCCTTTACTGGAAGGTCAGATGTGTGATTTGCTCAATAGCAGATATAGCAAAGCTCATAAAATTTAGCTCCAGTGAAGTCCCTCAGTGAATTTGAGGGACTTAATAAAAAGATGAGCACATTTATCTCTGCCTAACCTTTCCTTCTATGACTTGACTTTGCCTTCTTCTTGCAGGAGAAAGTTCATTTGAAACAATAATCCCCTTGCACCCTGTGCCAGGCTCGCCTTTAGAATCTCTTCGATCAGGTGCTAAGGTAATCAGAGTTTTAAATCTCAACTTTCAGCTAGCCATTTAGTCTACCAAGTCTATTTGCTATAAAGGTTCAATTTATTTGAGTCCAGTTCATCAGGTGTCTTCTTTTCACAGGCACACATAGCGTTAAGTTCTGGGAAACAAAGATAAATAAGGCAGAGTCCTACTTTAGGAGTCCATAATCTACACACCATGGATTATAATCAGTGTGATTAGATGGTGGAATGGGGCATGTGGGCACAGAATAGTTTTTGGTTATTTTGCCCAGGGGTACATGTAAGGAAGGCTTAACCATGGAAATGCCTCTTGAGCTATGTCCTGATGGATTAAATTGAATAATATATGAATGCACCTAAAACACTTTCTGGCATAGTGAGCCTGAATTGGTAGTCTGTGCCACTGGTGTCTTCTGGGCTTTGTTTTCCATTCTTCCTGGGGATTGGTAGCTTCTTGGGGCGTTACTTTTGCCACTCTGGTGCAAGTGCACTCACTTTCAGCAGATACCCAGGTGCCTTCTGTTTTGCACAAGTAAAAGAGAGAGGAAGGCTCAAATGACCCAACTATTTCAAATGCAGTTCCCTAATTAACCATTACTGTAGGTCCTCCCTGCTTCTTGTTGATTCTGACCTTGGAGCTGCCATAATCCACTCCTGCATCTCCTGTGGTTCTTTCCCTCTTATTTAGGCTGTGGTTGGTTTCTTCTCAGTTTTTGTTTGTTTTTGGTTCTGTTTAATATCTGATTTAATTTGCTCTCTGTCTTTCTAAGATTACTAAAACTATGTAGTCTAGTGATGGCATTTCTTATTTTCCAAGGATATTATAGCATTATCCTTTTATTGGCTCTAAAGATATAATTTAGTATTTTTCTGTCATTTCATGTGATTTGTGCTAGAAAGAGGTATATATTTGAGCTCAGTCTGCCTTTCTTGGTTCCATGTCCCTGCCTATGTACTATTGATTTTCCTTACATATCTTTAGAAGAAAAGTTAGTCAAATGGATTATTAGTCCTTAGGATATTTGCTCATAGTATTCCTGTGTTCACTTGTTTTATACACTCAGTGAAAAAATATGACAATTTCTATTTGTTTGAGAATTCTCATTTTATTTTATTTATTAAGTTTTATTTATTTAAGTAATCTGTATACTGAACTTGGGGTTCAAACTCATGACCCTGAGATCAAGAGTTGCATACTCTTCTGACTGAGCCAGCCAGGCGCCCCCAGAATTCGCACTAATTTTATATTTAAGCATTACACTGATTACTCTCAAGACTCAAAGAGTAAAATGATATAAATCTGTTCTTGGAAAAGAAGTTCCAATTCATCTTCAAGTATTCCTTGTCTTGATTGATTGAGTGATACAAATTAGAAACCTTAGGGACATTTTACTTATCCTTCCAGAGACATATTGATTGATCAGAGGTATGACATTCTTCAATGCCTCTGTTTCTTAAAATCTGCTTTCCTTTGGGGTGCCTAGGTGGCTCAGCTGGTTAAGTGGCTGACTCTTGCTTTAGGTCATGATCTTGCCGTTCGTGAAATCAAGCCCCTTGTTGGGCTCTGCACTGACAGTATGGAGCCTGCTTGGGATTCTCCCTCTCCCTCTCCCTCTCCCTCTCCCTCTCCCTCCTTGTCTCTCTCTCTCTCTCTCTCTCTCTCTCTCTCTCTCTCTCTCATGGACATGTGCTCTCTTTCTCTCAAAAGGTAAATAAATAAACTTAAAAAAAATTCCCTTGGACCCTAAATACAACCAATCCCCAAATCTGCCTTTTAGCAAATCTAGCCTTTTATATCTTCTAAGTCCTCTGGACTCTCCTTAGCTTTATCCCCACTCTTTATTGCCTTATAATCTCTCATTGGAACATTACAAGTAGCCTTGTAACTACCCTTGCCTCCCCCAGTTTCGCCTTCCCATAGGTGGAAGGGTGTTTGTAGGGTGGCTTACAAGGGAATATGGTCACATCTCATCCCCTGCTCAGTACTATGTAGTTCATGGATTCCCCCACTGCTTACATGTTAAGGTCTAGATTCCCTAGCAGTCATGCAACAGCTTTTATAATAGGAGTCTGACACTTGTTCAGTCACATCTCTCAGACTCCCCTCATGTTTTATATTATAAAATCCTGAACTACTTACATCTGAACTGAATATACCATGCTATTTCAATCCTCTTTTACATAAACTCTTCTTTTTGTTCAGAATTATTTTCTTTCCTTTTCCTGCTTATCTAAATTGCAAACTCTTACTCATTTTGTAAGTCACTTCAGACGTCACCATTTCTCACTTCTCCCCACCCCAATAATTAACTATTCACTTCCTCCTTGGTGCTCCTTGACTAGGGACTAGGGCATTTTATACAGGTCTCTTTTATAGCATTTACCATAAATCATGGAATTATAATATGAATCCCATAATAAAAAGAGCCACATCTCCTTTATCTTTATATTCCTTTTTTTTTTAAGTTTATTTACTTATTTGAGAGAGAGAGAGCATGCACGTGTGTGTGCAAGGAGGGGCAGAGAGAGAGGGAAGGGAAGAATCCCAAGCAGGCTCCATGTTGTCAGCACAGAACCCACGTGGAGTTTGATCTCACGAACCATGAGATCATGACTTGAGCCAAAATCTAGACTTGGACGCTGAATGACTGAGCCGCACAGGTGCCCCTATCTTTATATTCCTAATGCTGTGGTAAAGTGCCTGGCATATAATTAGCAACCAATACACATTTTATTTTACTTTATTTTATTTTTATATGGAATGCTTCATGAATTTGCATGTCATCCTTGTGGAGGGGACATGCTAATCTCTGTATTGTTCTAGCCAATACACATTTTAAAGCTACTTTTTATGGTATCCTGTGTGAAAATGTCAGATATATACATATGTATCTATATCTGTATCTATATCTATCTATCTATATGGGTATATACATATATATTTGAAAAAACAGTTTTCTTGTTAAAAAGCACGTTGCCAAATCAGAATTTATATTGGAGATATAACTTGGAAATTTCTCATTAGTGGAATACAAAATTCTTTAACAATAATATCAATTATTCTTATTAATGTTGATTCCTACGAAATAAAATTAAAAAATGAACAAATTATCTTTCTTCTCTCTAGTTGAAAAAGTCATGACAGCCCTATTTGGATATATCACTAATATCAAATCCTTGGCAGCTCTTCTGAAAAATTCATTTTTGAGCTCATTCATGGGACCAAGAAATACTTTCTCATCTGTGAAAGATAGAAATATAGTAAAGAATATGATTTTCAAATACTTAGTAAAAAACCTAAAATTTTAAAAAAGTACTACATTTAAGTTACAAAAATAGTCACAGAATATAAACTAGCAAAAAAAAGCAGCTCAATCTCACTCATGTGAAACTACTATTAACATTTCATTATAGAACCTTCTGATTCCTCTTCTATGTGTATTTGTATACATGTGTGACCTGAGTATGGTAGAGGGGAAAGGCCTCTAGCTTAGGAATAAGATTCTCATCTAGGCTATAGTTCTAACTTATGGGACCTAGAGAAAGTTATTTGAAGCCTCTATATGGAAATAATTAAACTTGACCTTCTTATCTTGAATAGTGATATGAGATTCAAATGAGATAATGAAAAAAAGGGTGGGGAGGCCTCTTGCATTTGCAAAATGCTGCATAATTTTATTCTTTTCCAGCAGTGCAGTCTTGAAGTTAAAGTATTTGTGGCAGAGCCCTTATTGACCACAGCACAGATTTTAGGAGGCAATCTACTGAAGGTCACATTGGAGGCTGCCTACTCTGTGCCTGAATCTTTCATTCCAGTAGGCCCTCTGCAGAACTACATGGTTGGTCTGCAAGTTCCATCAGTTGGAGAGGTAAAGCCCTACAGCCAGATATTTAGATAGATTTAAACACTCATATGGTCATCTCTTCCTTACCTGCTAAGATTTCATTCAAAGCAAGCTCTATTAATTGAGGAAATTTATTTTAGGCTTAAAAAAAGTTTTCTAATGTTTTATATATAGATATCTATAGTTTACATGTTATATGTAATATACATTGCATATAATTTGTATCAATAAATACATATTTATGGTGGAAAATATGTAAAACATTTTAAAATTGATAATTTTAATATATTGCTACACATTACTTTTATGCGTATATTTTGTGGATTTTATACAATGTACTTAATTATATAAAACTTTCTCTTAATTTCAGGTTATTTTCTTAGTCCAAATTTCTATAGAGTAATTATATATGGATTTTTTGAGGCTCTTGATAGATATTTCAAAGTTGCTTGCTAAAAGGTATAATTAGTTAATACTCTCAGATGTTCTATTGCAATTTACTTTTCAGCATAGAACCCTCCAATTCCTCTTCACTATTCACATTCCCACCAGCAGTGTAAAGGGTTCCAATTTCTCCATATCCTCATTAATATCTAGTATTTTCTGGGTTTTTTTTTTTTTGTTGTTGTTGTTGTTGTTGTTGTTTGTTTTTTTTGATACTTATCCTTACAGATATGAAGTGGCATTTCCTTGTGTTTTAGATTTGCATTTCCCTAAGGACTGATGATGTTGAGCATCTTTTCCCCTCCTTACATTGCCATTTGTATATCTTTTGGGGGGGAAATGTTTATTCAAGTGTTTTGCCCATTTTTGAATCTGGTTGTTTTTTGTTGTTGAGTTTTAAAAGTACTTTATATAGCCTACCTATTGATCCCTTATCAGGTATGTGACTTGTAAATATTTTCTCCCATTCTTTACTTTGTTGTTAGTATATTTTGCTGCACAAAATTCCTAATTTGGATGAAGTCCAATTTATCTATTTTTTTTCTTTTATTGTCTCTGCCTTTGGTGCCATAACCAAGAAATCATTGCTTAATCCAATGTCAAGAGATTTTCCCCCCTGTGTTTTCTTCTAAACGTTTTATAGTTTTAGCTCTTAGATTTAGGCCTTTGAACCATTTTGAGTTTCCTCAGCACCATTTATTGAAAAGACTGTCCTTTCTCCATTGAATGGTCATGGTATGCTTAATTTTGAAGTTTTTGCCAGCATTCTCATTTCTGTGGAGGAGCAAATTTTCAGAGGTCCTTACTCTGCCATTCCAGAAATGCCTTTCTGTCACAAAAGTTCTTCCCAAAGAACTAGAATTGTTGAGTTACAGGGTATGACAATTTTAAATTTACTGGAGACTGCAATATTGCTTTTCACAGTTATACCAATTTATACTTCCATCAACTATGTATAAGAATACCATACCCTTTACAATATTGCCAGTGCTTGATATTTTCAGACTGATTTTGCCAATCTGTGTTTTAAAATGATATCTCATAGTTTTAACGTGCATCTCAATTATTATTAAGGTTATCTGGCATGTTTTTATATAAACATTGGATTTTCTAATTTCCCTTTCTACAAATTGCCTATTTACATCTTTGTTAATTTTCTTTTACAAGTATATATTAGATAAATTATAGATAGGAAAGTGCCTATATTGTTAACCCTTGTCAGATTTGTTTGTTTTTAAAAAAGTAATTTTTAAAAAGGTATATCATAACTCTCATATAAATATAAAATGACAAAAGGGTTTTAAACCAGTTCAAAGGAGAATTGGGGAAAAAAACACCCATATATAAGCAATCAGGAATGTTGAGATGAATTTCCTAATAATTCTAAACTCATCATCAGCCACAGGTCAATAATTGATTATATCTCCACTGGACAAAATATGTTTACATATCTATGGACAAGAATAACTTGCATTGTTACTATTTTTTTTTATAAAATAAAGAATTATAAAACAGCACAAATACAGAATCAGATAATCACAAAAGGAAGGGTCTGTTAGATAATACCCAACATTACACTGAAAATATACTTCAATAAACTTTTTTGTTCATTTTGAACTCTTTTACAAAACTTCCTGATGTATGATAATTTATTCTGTAGAAAGACTATCCCATTTTGTTCAAGAATGGAACTCTGAAGATTGGAGGGGAAAGAGAACCTGTTCCCCGGCCTAAAAAATGGCCAATTGCCAACATTCTGGCTCCAGGAGCTAATGACATTCCTAATGCTTTCATTGTTGGTGGGCCCTATGAGGAAGAAGAAGGAGAACTCAATCACCCTGAGGTGAGAGAATTATGTACTTTTTTTTGAGACAAACTAAGTGCATAGACAGATGGCAAGACATTTTTTGAATCACTCTAATTTATATAAATCTGTTACTTGTTAAAATAAAACAATTGTCTAATTCTGATGAAAATGTCTCCTAACTTCTTAAGTTCAACAAACAAAATAGTTTATTAAATTCAAATTTACTCTTTATTTTATTTTGAATTTATGAACTTTTGAGTAGGCAATAATATGATCATAGTCATGAATATAAAAGCAAATATATATACTCAAAGGAAGAAAGAAAGACTCACAGACAAAAATATTTAGAAGAGCAAAGTTTCCTTGCAAAGAATGCAAAAAGGAATAGATTTCAGAAAGACTGACTCAGATATCAGCATAGTAAAAGTCAGGGATAAAATTGTTTTTCTTTAGGAAGTCCAGATTTATAGAAAGTATTCAAAATATTGTTATTTTCAGAACTAGAACCTGTCAGGAAGACACTGCTATTTTTATTTTCTCTGAGGGTGTAAATTAATTAACTTATTTATTTATTTATTTATTTATTTATTTATTTATTTGTTTATTTATATTTTTCTTAAGGGTTTATTTTTAACTGAGTATATAGAGTGCTTAATCATATTAAAAGCAGGGAAAATGTCAGTTTTGATTAATATACACACATATATGTACATACAGTACATACATGCATTCTTTCCTTATTGGTGGCATACTCATACTGTTTTGCAACTTGCTTTTTAGTAGATCTTGGTGATTTCCACATCACTACTTAAAAAGCATTCTCATTCTTTTTCTTTTATCTTTTTATTTTTTCCCTTTTTTTTTTTGAGAGAGAGAGCTAGAGTGCAAGTGGGTAAAGGTCAGAGGAAGAGAGGGAGAATCTTATGCAGGCTCCATGCCCAGCTCAGAGCCCAATGTGGGGTTCCATCTCACCACCATGAGATCATGACCTGAGCTGAAATTAAGAGTTGGCCGCTTAACTGACTGAATAACCCAGGTGGCCCATCATTCTTTTTCTTTCTTTATTTGTACTTGCTGTATAACATGACATTATATAGACACACTTAAATTCACTTAACCAGTCTGCTATTGGTGATCATTTAGGTTGTTGAAATTATTCTTTTCTTTTTATTCCTCCCTCCTTTCCTCCTTCCATCCTTCTCTTTCCCTCCTTTCTTTCTCTTTTTATTTTCTTTCTTTGTTTCCCTGTTTCTTTCTATTTTACTGCAACTTATACTTGTCAAGAGCATAGAAAATGCTGCAAACATACTGGCAAATGTTTCTTGAATGAGCTAATAATCATTAGTGGAAAAATTCAATAAAATTATTTGTAAAATGAGGATGGTTGAATTATTTTAAGTATCTGACTAAATATTTTGAATAGTTGAAATAAATCTGGCAATATTTGAAAAACATTGTGCAGTATCTTCTCTCATCATTGTGATTAGTGAATATTCATACTGTTTCTTGATTTATACTTTCATTTAGATCAGATACTTTATTTTACGTATTTAGATCTTATATTTTAGTTTATTTTTAAATTTTGTTTGTTTAAAGTTTTTATTTAAATTCCAGTTAACATATAGTGTAATATTGGTTTCAGGAGTAGAATTTAGTGATTCGTCACTTACATATAACACCTAGTGCTCATCACCAGTGCCCTCCTTGCTACCCATCACCCATTTAACCCTTCCCTCACCTACCTCCCCTCCAGCAACCCTTAGCTTGTTTCTATAGTTAATAGTTTCTTATGGTTTTCCCCCCTCTTTCTTTTTTTCCTTCCTTCCCCTATGTTCTTCTGTTTTGTTTCTTAAATTCCACGTATAAGTGAAATCATATGGTATTTGTCTTTCTCTGACCGACTTATTTCACTTAGCAAAATACAGTTTATCTCCATCAAATGGCAAATTTCATTTGTTTTGCTGTCTGAGTAATAACCCATTATGTATATATAATATATATATTATATATATATATTATATATATATATATATATTTACTTTAGATCATTAGCTCTCAAGCCTGATTGCTCGCTTGAATCATCTGGAAAGCTTTTAAGACAATAGCAATGGGGCACCTGGATGTCTCAGTCTGTTTTACATCCAACTTGGTGTCAGGTCATGATACTGTGGTTTGTGAGTCCGAGCCCCACGTCGGGCTCTGTGCTGACAGCTCAGAGCCTGGAGCCTGCTTCAGATTCCATGCCTCCGTCCCTCTCTGCCCCTCCCGCACTCGCACTCTGTCTCTCAAAAAGAAATAAACATTTAAAAAAACAAATTAAAAAAAAACAATAGCAATGGCCAAGCCCTAACTGAGATCAATTACATAAGAATTTACTTTCAAAATATTACACTGGGGCTCCTGGGTGGCTCAGTTTGTTAAGCAACCGATATTGGCTCAGGTCATGACCTCATGTCTGGTGGGTTTGAGCCCCTTGTGGGCTCTGTGCTGACAGCTTAGAGCCTGGAACCTGCTTCAGATTCTGTGCCTCTGTCTCTCTCTGCCCCTCCCCCACTTGTACTCTCTCTCTCTCTCTCTCTCTCTCTCTCTCTCTCTCTCTCTCAAAAATAAATAAATATTAAAAAAATGTATTACCACTGCCCAGGTGTTGATTTTTTTAAAAGCTCCCAGATAATTCTAATATGCATTCAAGGTTGAGAATCAGTGATTGAGATTATATGAGTGAATTTTTGGTACTTAGTACTAAATTAATGTGAAGGTAATATAAATTATCTTACGTACTTTAGTAATAGTAAAGTACCCTAAAATTTAAGATGTGGTAGTAGTTACAGTAGTAGTTGTAGTTATACTAGTAATAGTAATAGTAATAGTAATAGTAATAGTAATAGTAATAGTAATAGTGTTGTGATCAAATCCCTTAAAAGAATGACTTACAGATTTAGCAGGATGAAACCATGGCACACTGAGAGAACAAAAGTCTCTTATTATTTTACAGGACAGGGAATTTAGGAACCAAGCAGAGTGCATAAAGAAAAGGATTACTTGGGACCTGGAAAGTCGCTGCTACCTTGATCCTCCTGCAGTAGTCAGGTAGGAAGAGGAAGGGGATTATGTCTAAGCAACAACTAGAGGTGGGAAGAAATGTTACTTTTGTTAATTTTATCTATATTTGAGTTAGGGTGATCTGAGAATCCCTTCCACCAAATCTGCTAATAACAGAGGCTTTTAGTGATCGTGGTTCACTCATGGTGGGTTCTGATTCCTTTTTCATATAAAACAAGTCCAGAGCTGATATGTATGGTGGCTCCACAGTGTAGCTCCATCAGGTATACAGGCTCCATCTTTATTTTTGCTCTACCTTCTTTAACATGTGCTTTCCATCCACAAGGTTGTTTCATGGTCCAGAATGGCCATTGGAGCTCTATCCTGCATATTCACATTCCTCAAAGAAAGCTGGAAAGGGCGAGTGTTTAGGGATAAAAAAGGATACATGCTGGGTATCTTAGACCCTCTTATAGAGCCTTCCTAGAAACTTACAATTTCAGTTTTATATCTCAATGGCCATCTCTAGATGCAAAAGAGGTTGGAATTATGTTTTTGTTATACACATTGTCATTCAGACTAAATCAGGGGTTAGAGGGGTGCCTGCGTAGCTCAGTTGGTTGAGCATCTGTCTTGGGATCAGGTCATGATCTTGTGGTTCATGGGTTCAAGCCCCATGTCGAGCTCTGTGCTGACAGCTCAGAGACTGGAGCCTGCTTTGGATTCTGTGTCTCCCTCTCTCTCTGCCCCTCCCCTACTCATGCTCTGTCTCTGTTTCTGTCTCTCAAAAGTAAAGAAACATTAAAAAAAATCTAAATCAGGAGTTAGATACTAAAGAAGAACAGGACACTTGACATTGTGTGGGTAACTACCAGTCTCTGTCACAGTTACCTGGCGGTTAGGGAGAGATGATAAATAAGGGACTATCAAAATACATATAATTAGAATGAGCAACTCTGGTTTTCTTTTTCAATTCATAGGCTGTTTTTAAGAAGAGTGTTAGAATTACAGAAAAATTGAGCAGACATTTCCCAGAATTCCTATATACCGCTGGTTCTCCACTTGACTGTGGTGTATAGTATAAATATACATTGTTGGGGTGCCTGGGTGGCTCAGTCGGTTAAGTGTCTGACTTCAGCTCGGGTCATGATATTATGGTTCATGCTTTGAGCCCCGCATTGGGCTCTCTGCTGTCAGTGCAGAGCCTGCTTTGGATCCTCTGTCTCCTTCTCTCTGCCCCTACCTTGCTCTCTCTTGCTCTCTCTCTCAAAAATAAATAAACATTAAAAATATAAATGTACATTGTTGGGTTTGACTTGCTTATATTCTGTTAAGGATACATTGTTGCTCTTATTACTTTGAGTAGTTATCTGTTTGATCAATTAAAAATAAGAAAAATTTGAAAATTTATTTTACCTTAATTTTGTCCTCTGATTCTCTTCTTTTCTTAATGTAGATCCAAGTTTCTGACCCATATCATTTTCTTTTTCTCTGAAAACTTTTAGCATTTCTTGCAAGGCAGGCCTACTGGCCACAAATTCTCTCCATTTTTGTTGAGAAAGTCTTTATTTCTCCTTCCTTTTTTTTATGATTTTTTTTTTTTAGTTTATTTATTTTGAGAGGGTGAGAGAGAGGGCACAAGCTGGGGAGGGGCATAGAAAGAGGGAGAGAGAATCCCAAGCAGGCTCTGCACCATCAGCACAGAGCCCAACACAGGACTTGATCTCACAAACCGTGAAATCATGACCTTAGCAGAGATCAAAAGCAGACGCTTAACCAGTTGAGCCACTCAGGCACCCTCTCCTTCGCTTCTGAAGGATAATTCTCTGGATACAGAAATCCAAGTTGGTGGTGTGTTTTTTTCCAGAAACTTTGAATATTTCACTCCATCTCTTATTGCTTGCATGGTTTCTGAAGAGAAATCCAATGTAACTCTTATTCTTGTTCCTCTATAGGTAAGGTGTTTGTGGTTTCTCTCCCTTCTGTCTTCTTTAAATATTTTCTCTTTTTCTGTGGTTTTCTGCAGTTTGAATATGATATACCTGGACATAGGGTTTTTTTGTTTGTTTTCTGTTTTGTTTTGGTATTTATGATGCTTACTCTTCTCTGAGCTTTCAGTATCTGTGGTTTGGTATCTGTCATTAATTTAGTAAAATTCTCAGTCATTATGATTTCACATATTTCTTTGGTTCTTTTTTCTGTTTTTTCCTCTGGTATTCCTGTTATATCTTCTATAATTGTTCCACAGTTCTTGGATATTCTAATTTTTTTTTCATTTTTTTCTCCTTTCCATTTTAGTTTGGGCATTTTTTATTGACATATCTTCAAATTCACTGATGATTTCCTCAGCATTGTTCAATCTACTAAGTCCATCAAATGAATTCTTCATTTTTGTTTCAGTGTTTCTTGTTTCTAGCACTTCTTTTTTATTCTTTCTTGGGTTTCCGTCTCTCTGCTTACATTTCCATCTCCCTATTACATTATTTGCAGTTTGTCTACTTTTTCCATTAGTGCTCTTAACATATTAATTATAGTTATTTTAAATTCCCTACATGATTGGGGCATCTGGGTGGCTCAGGCAGTTGAACGTTGGACTTCAGCTCAGGTCATGATCTCGAGGTTCGTGAGTTTGAGCCCTGTATCTGGCTCACTGCTGTTGGTGCAGATCCGCTTCGGATCCTCTGTCCCCCTCTCTCTCTGTCCCTCCCCCACTCGTGCTCACTCGCTCTCTTGCTCTCTCTTTCAAAAATAAATTTAAAAAACATTAAAATATTCCCTATATAATCATTCGAAATTTTGTGTCATATCTGAGTCTAGTTCTTATGTTGTGTCTCTTCAGTATTTTTTCTTGCCTTTTAGTATTCTTTGTAATTTTTTATTGGAACCTGGACATTATATATTGGGTGATAAGAAATGAGGTAATTAGGGTTTTTAGTGTGAAGTTTTCTGTTAGTGTGGCTTGGAGCTGGGCTGTGTTTAGTGTTTGCTGTAACTGTACGTGCTAGAGGCTTCAGTTTCCTTTTTTGTTCCTCCCCCCCTGTTGTCTTTGAGTTTGCCTGAAAGAGGGTCTGTGTTTTGCAGCCTCTCAAATCCACTGTTCTTATACCAGAACCCTGTTGGTGTGGTGATAAGGTGTTTGGAAGGGGAAGTATTTTAAAATACTGTAATTAAACTTAGTATTTTAATGGGTTTGACCTCCTGGCCTGTGACAATCAGAAGTGTTTAATAGTATTTTTTACTTCTTATGTGAAACAGGAAGGCTAGACAGAACTAGAATTGTCTAATTGCCCTTCTTCCGCATCAGATAAGACTCTGGTAAAATAGTTTCCCTTAAAGGGTAAGCATTTGTTATGGGTAACACTCCAGGCATATTTCAAAATACTTACTGTTCCCTTCTTCCTACTTAAGAGGATTTTTCTCATATCTTCACCATGAATATCTGAAGTGACTCCTTGTTTTAAAGCCAAAAAAGTGTGGAGTCTATAACTCTGGCTAATCCAGCCTCCAGCAATTTGTCAAAATTACCATTAAAGTGTTTCCACAACTTATTGACTCCATTGCTTTCTCCGACCTGTACACTGACGTCAGCTGTGATTCTCTGTACTTGCCTCTCCTCCAAATTTTATGGTGGTGATTTGCCCCATGAACTTAATTCTTAGATGGATCTAAGAAAGGTCATTGATTTTTCAGTTTGACCTGCTTCTTATTGTTGTTATGAGGACAGGAGCAACAACTTCTAAGCTCCTTACATGTCAGAGCTGACACTGTAAGTGCTACTCTATTTTCACAGTATAAACATATTTTATATGATTTGCATACTTGTCTGATTATTTCTTTAGAACAAATTACTAGAAGTGAAATTTCTGGGTCAAAGATTATGACCATTTTAAGGCTTTAGATTCACATTTACAGATTGCTCTCAACAATGTATAGTTTGCTTCTGCTAGCAGTACAGTAGAATTATTTTTGGAATTTTATAAATTTAGGAAGCTTAAAACAACCCACCTACCTAATAAAAATGTTTATATATCTTTGCGTATTCCATTACTTTTAAAAAGAGTCTTCCCTTTAAATTATACTAACTTGATTTTTTCATACAATTCTAATGGGCTAATTTTTAATTTGCAGTTTTCAGAAGCGAATTGTTGATTGCCGCTTTTGGCCTGTAGAGATCACAAGAGTTCCTCTGACTACTGTACCCAAAGGGAAAGCTGCAAAATTTGATAAGGTAAATTTGTTCCCTTAATGATAGCTGTAGAAGAAATGCCTGGTCAGACCCAACCTATTATTCTGCTTCTTTATTTTTTAAATTTTTTAAATGGTTATTTATTTTTGAGAGAGAGAAACTGAGCACAGGCAGGGGAGGAGCAGGGAGACACAGAATCTAAAGCAGGCTCCAGGCTCTGAGCTGTCAGCATAGAGCCCAACACGGGGCTTGAATCCACGAACTGCAGGATGATGACCTGAGCCCAAGTCAGATGTTTAACCAAACTGAGCCACCCAGGTGCTTGTTATTCTGCTTCTAGTTCTGATACAGAAGGAATGTGTGAACTGATGTGGGTGCTCTCTAGGGTGACTAACTTAACCTGATTTGTCAAGTAGTTTCCTGGTTTTAGTGCTGAAAATCGCATGTCCCAGGAAGATCTCCTGTCCCTGGCAAATCAGGATGACTGGTCACCCTAGCTCCCTATTGTCCACTAAAAACTGTTTAGGCTTTATTCCTAGACATCCTATTTCCCTTTAGCTCTTTAAAATGGTTTTACTATAGGTAAAACCACACAAAATAGCCATTTTTATAGGTCAAAGTAGTTAAATATTGGGAATATGGCTCAACCTAATACATCTTCCTGAATTTCTTTTCAACATACCTACTTAAAATGTTTTAGCCTACTAATTAGAGTAATAGGGCTCATTGATGTACATTATTCTGAAAAGATCTAGCTTTGTGAGCCTAGAACATGTTCTCTGTTGTTTTATTTGTGCATGTCTGGTCTTTTCTGTTTGTACATAAACTCCCTTAGGGTAGGAATACTGTCATAGACTACTTTGTATCCTCTATAGTACCTAGCATGATTCATGGTATACAGCAGACAATTAACAAGTACCTAAATTCTTTTGATTTTTATTTTTTTATCTTAAATTTTTTTTTAATGTTTACTTATTATTGAGAGACAGAGAGAGGCAGAGCATGAGCATGGAAGTGGCTGAGAGATGGGGAGACACAGAATCTGAAGCAGGCTCCAGGCTCTGAGCTGTCAGCACAGAGTCCAATGCGGGGCTCGGACTCATAAACCTAGAGATCATGACCTGAGCCGAAGTCGGAAGCTTAACCGACAGCCACCCAGGCGCCCCCTTTTGATTTTTAAAATAGACATTTTTACATAATAAATATACTACTGGCAGTAACCACTTCTCCCTTTGTAATATAAAATATACATTGCTAACTTTCCTTAGCAACACAATGTTATTATATATATGTAAGACTTTTAAATCTACTTTTTAAAAAATTTTTTCTTTTTTAATGTTTATTTATTTTTGAGAGAGAGACAGAGCCTGAGCCGGGGTGGGGCAGAGAGAGAGGGAGACACAAAATCTGAAGTAGGCTCCTGGCTCTGAGCTGTCAGCACAGAGTCCCACATGGGGCTCAAACTCATGAACTGCAAACCGCAAAATCATGACTTGAGCCGAAGTCGGATGCTAAACCGACTGAGCCACCCAGACGCCCCAAATCTAAATTCTACTTATTGTAATATGTGAAATCAAAGAGATTACTTTTAATTTGCGGGAATTAAATGTGTTTTCTTTCAGTAAATTTTTTCCCTATGAAAGTTTTCTATGGCAAACCATTAAAAATTATGTTAAGTTATATTTATTAACATGTTATTCATCTTTGTGATGGGGGTTTAGACAAAATTAGCGGGGCACCTGGGTGGCTCAGTCAGTTGAGCATCTGACTTCGGCTCAGGTCATGATCTCGTAGTTGACAAGTTTGAGCCCCGCATGGGGCTCTGTGCTGACAGCTCATAGCCTGGAGCCTGCTTCAGATTCTGTGTCCCTCTCTCTCTGCCCCTGCCCTGCTCATGCTCTGTCTCTCTCTGTCTCAAAAATAAATAAACATTAAAAAAAAAATTAGGTAAAATTAGCGATGGCAAATACAGAGTGGCAAACTATCATTCATCCTCCCTCATCCATGGCAGATATTACTGGTTAATCAAAACGTTGTTTCTTTCTGAACCCAGATAAGGGTATAGAATCTTCGGGGCGCCTGGGTGGCTCAGTCGGTTAAGCGTCTGACTTTGGCTCAGGTCACGATCTCGCGGTCTGTGAGTTCAAGCCCCGCGTCGGGCTCTGTGCTGACTGCTCAGAGCCTGGAGCCTGTTTCAGATTCTGTGTCTCCCTCTCTCTCTGACCCTCCCTCGTTCATGCTCTGTCTCTCTCTGTCTCAAAAATAAATAAACATTAAAAAAAAAAAAAAGAATCTTTCTCAATACAGTACTCTGAAACAACTCCACCAATTGTTTAGAATTTAGGCATATTCAAGTCTATTTAATATGATGATTTGTAAGATCCCTTTCATTCATAAAAATCTGTGAACTAAAGCTAAAAGCCACATCTTCTGATTTCTTTTCGTTGTTGTAATTATTTTACAAAGCTTCATTTTTTCCTAAGAAGCAATATTGTTAAATTGACTTTTTTAGTTGAATATATATATAATCAATTAATTGGAGCATGTGTTATCTGACTACTGCCTTTACTATTCATTAACACTGTTGATATGCATTATTTCAGTGATTGTGGTATTATTAAACCCATTTTGAAGATAAAGAAATGTAGATCCAAAATATCTATGTAACTGGCCAAGTCAAATAGTTAAGGAGCATAGCTAGTTCCTAAAGCCAGGTCTTTGAAAAACTAAGAGCTCCATACCTTCTGCTACATTGCTCTACAGCACTAACAGCTCTCTGGTTTTATTCCTTTAGACTGATGATGAAAGTCAGCTTTCGTTTCATGGTGTGGCTTATGTGAATATGGTCCCATTGCTGTATCCAGGTGTGAAGAGGATTCGGGGAGCTTTTCATGTTTACCCTTACCTAGACAGTACAGTCTATGAAAAGGTAAGAAAAAATTGTACAGAAGGTATTATCCTAATTTATCCTTTATGTATGTGTTTACTTACATCTTTAGCATACAAATCTTTGCACTTGAAGTTTGGAACCATTGGTATACTGGGATGGTAAATATAGCACCTTGCAGTCATTCTGTCATTGAACCTTAAAAACTTTAGGATAGTGAGGAGCACCCCAGTGGCTCAGTTGGCTGGGCATCCAATTTCAGCTTAGGTCATGGTCTCAAAATTTGTGGGTTTGAGCCCCACATCATTTTCTCTCTCAAAAATAAATAAAACATTAAAAAATTTTAGGATAATGAAAAGCCAAAAACTGGAAACAACCTAAACCTCTATGAACAGGTGAACAGAAAAACAAATTTTGTGGTATATCTATATAATGAAATCCTACTCAGTGATAAAAAGGAATGAACTATTGATACGTGCAGCATGGATGAATCTCAAATGCATTATGTTAAATGAGAGAAGGCTGATAAAAGAAAGTACATAATGTATGATTTCATCTAAATAGAATTCTAAGAAAATAATCTGTGGTGACCTAAAGCTGACCAGTGGTTGCTTAGGAACAGGAATAGAGAGAGGGATGGATTACAAAAGAATGTGAAGAAAGTGTTAGGGATGATGGAAATGCTGGTTATCTTGATTGTGGTGATAGTTTCACATGTGTATACATATGTCATGTCAAAATTAATCAAATTGTATACTTTAAATATGTAGTTTGTCATATTTCAATTTTACTCAATACAGTCAGATACATAATCTTTAAGACAATGAAAGAAGTCTATTGTGTTAAGTATACAAAACTTAAATCCATGAGCTGATTAGTGATTTTTAGGTGTTAAAATGTTAAAATCATGTATCTTTTTATCTATCTATATGTCTACATATAAATATAGAATATATATATGTGTATTTTTCCCCAAACAAAAAATCAGTTTTACCATATTTTTCTTAGGAGAAATTGAGTCTTCGTAAAACACAACAAAAATAATAACAAAAACATATTACTATTTCATTATTATTAGGACAGCTATTTTTCAATAATGGAGTCATGAAAGACCTATCATCTATTTGCAAACCAACTGAGTAGTAAACTCTTTCTATATATTATTTATTTTTGAGAGAGAGAGAGAGAGAGAGAGAGAGAGAGAGTCAGAGCATGAGGGGGGAGGGGCAGAGAGACAGGGAGACACAGAATCCGAAGCAGTCTCCAGGCTCTGAGCTGTCAGCACAGAGCCCAATGCGGGCTTGAACCCACAAACCGTGAGATTATGACCTGAGCCGAAGTCGGATGCTTAACCGACTGAGCCACCAGGTGCCCCAGAAATCCTTTGACTCAGAAATCACACTTATAAGGATGTATCTGAAGGAAATAATTTAATAGAATCAAAACTCCATGTTCGCCCTTCAGTTTTAGTCTCTAGAACTTTCTCATGTTCTGTAATACAATTTTTAGCATTAGAATAGATTTGGCAATATTGAATGGTTTGCCTTCCTTTCTGAAAGTGTGTGAAGCATTACAAAGAAAAAGATGTGCATGGACTATGAGTACAAATAAAAATCTATATGTAGTGTTTCCAATTATTGCAATTACTGTAAAGAGTGTTAAAAATGTTTTGTAGAATACAAAGAGGGGAAACATCATAAGATTTCAGTTTGTCACCTGTCTACAAATACTATAAATCTTAACTGTTAGTGACAGAAATGTCCATCTGTTTTACTTACACTATTTGTTTTTCTTTGAAAACATGGCGTATGCAAAAGTATCTGGGTTAGGTTTGGCAGAGTGGAAAAGCAAATGAAATTTGAAAAAGAGCTAGCAGTGATGAATGTCGCAGTGTGTAAATTAAAATTCCTAATGACATAAAAAAACCCAACTCCGTATTCAGAAAAACTTTTTGGGATCTATGATAGCAAAAATTAAAAATAAGTTTTTTTTTTTTTTTTAACATTTATTTATTTTTGAGAGAGAGAGATGGAGTGCACGTGGCGGAGAGGCAGAGAGACAGAGAGACACAGAATCCGAAGCAGACTCAGGGCTCTGAGCTGCCAGCACAGAGACCCACGTGGGGTTCAAACCCACCAACCCTGAGATTTTGACCCGAGCTGAAGTCGGATACTCAACCAATTGAGCCACCCAGGCACCCCTAAAAATAAGTTTAAGGGGCGCCTGGGTTGATCAGTCGGTTGAGCCTCTGACTTCAGCTCAGGTCATGATCTCGCGGTCCATGGGTTTGAGTCCCCCATCGGGCTCTGTGCTGACAGTTCAGAACCTGGAGCCTGCTTCGGATTCTGTGTCTCCCTCTCTCTCTGCTCCTCCCCTGCTCATGCTCTCTCTCTGTCTCTCAAAAATGAATAAACATTAAAAAAAATTTAAAAAATAATTTTAAAATGTCTATAATAGAGAAAAGCTTAGAAAATGATTGTAAATAAAAATGATTCAATATGCATCTATTAAAAAAGATAATTGTTAATGCTGTGTAAATAGTTAAATGGAAAAAAAGAATGCCAAAATGTTACATATAGCATAGATAAAAATAAGTTGCAAATGAGTTTATTAACATTGTTAAATGTGAAAAATATAAAAGTAGAAGTGGCTATTAATTAAAAAATATGAACTCAGGAAAGACTTTCCTAGGCTTGAGAGCAATGAAAGATATAAAAGATTTAGATTAACAAAAAATGAATAGCTTCTATGTATAGGAGAAACCATCATAAACAAAATTACAATGTAACTGAAAAATGGGAGAATATTTGAATATATGTAGGAAAGATGGTTACTATTCCTAAAATATAAAGCACTTTATCAAATTGATAAGAAAAACACACTAATTTTGTTTTAAAGGGCAAAGTACATGAAACGGTACTAGACAAAAAAAGAAATGCCAATGATCAATAAATAAAAGAAGAAGAAACATTTGGCCTTATTTAGAATCAAACAACTGCAAATTAAAATAACAATAAAATACCATTTTACCTGTAGAATTAGTCAATTCTTTAAAACATGGTAATGCCCATTGTTGGGAAAGGTGTGATAAAGCAACTCTCATTCACTGCTAGAAGTGTAAATTACTACAAACCATGAAAAAAATTTTGTCAGTATGTATTAAGAAGCTTAGAATACTTATATTTTTTCCTGTAGCATTCCTACTTCCAGGAATCTATTTTAAAGGAATGAGTAGAATTGTATCCAAATTTTACTAAATGAAGATATATCTGAGGGAAGTAGTATATTATAATTGAAAGGTTATAGGCCTTGATGTCAGTCAGCCTCTAGTTTCAATTCCGGAATTAACCAGCTGGGTAACTTCAGGCAAGTGACTAAGTTTCTCTCAACTTTAATTAATTAATTGATTTATTATAAATAAATTTATTATAAATGAAGACAGTGCTTTTTTCCTAGAATTGTTTTACATATTAAATGAGATAAAATATGTAAGGTACTAGGAGTGTAGTACTAGGGGTGTAGTAGGGGTGATTGGAGACTATTGTATATACATTAAAAATTACCTTATGAAAAATTTTAAAACATGAAAGGATACATGTGATAATCTGTTAAATGAAAAATCAGGGTATAAAACTACATTCAATATGACCACAACTTTTAAAAAATATATAATCATAATTAAATATATATGTATATATGTATATATATATACATATAATATTGGAGAGGAAATCTTTCTGGCTATGTCTGAGTGAGAAGATTGTCAAATATTCTCCCCACCACCACCAAAAGCAGCTGTAAAATTGGACAAATTGGCAAAAAAAACCATTCAGCACTCTGGAAATTGACCAAAGGCATCAACAAACTGAGAAGTATTAATGCATGAAAAACTATGGAGTTTGAGGCTTTCTTGGTTAGGGCTGCTTCTAAAACTTCCCTAAGTTGTTCCCTACTCCACTTCTTTAGCTTAACCAGTGCACTGATTATTCTAGGGCAGGATAGGCTGTGAGGACCAGCAACTTTGCTGCCATAGAAGAAGGCTTACACAATTTGGAGCAGTGGATGAAGGACCTATGCCCAGCAATGCTGTTGGTTGAAATTTGTGGAGAGCAACCAACATAACTGAAATGAGAGTCCCAGGAAAGAGAGTAAGGGGCAGAAAAGATACATGGCAAAATAATGTCTAGAAATGTCTCATGTTTGATGAAAACATTAATCTACATATCCAAGAAGTTCAGAGGATCCCAGGTTGGATAAGCATACAGGCATCTACAACATAGACATTAGAGTTTACTGCTGAAAGACAAAGAGAAAATCACGAATTCAACAGGAGAAAAACAACTCATTGCTTATAGTTGCAATGTATTTAACAGCTGATTTTTCTTCTGAAACAATGGATCCAGAAGGCAGTCGAATAACATATTCAAAGTGCTCAATGAAAAAGCTAGCAATCAAAAAGGAAGTTAAAATAAAGACATCCAAAGATAAACAAATATTGAAAGAATTTGTTGCTAACAAATTTGTCTTGTAAGAAACACTAAAGGAAGTTCTTCTGCTTGAAAGGATATGGCATTGATTGCTGACTTGAATCCACAGGAAGAAACAAAGAGCACTAGAAATGTCTAAATTTAAGTTAATATAAAAGATTTCAGAAATACAGTATGTATTTTTTTTATTTTTACTCTTAATTTCTTTGAAAGGCATTATATAAAGCATTAATTATATTGTTGGGTTATAACATGTATAGATTTTTTTTTATTTATATATGAAATTTATTGTCAAATTGGTTTCCATACAACACCCAGTGCTCATCCCAAAAGGTGCCCTCCTCAATACCCATCACCCACCCTCTCCTCCCTCCCACCCCCCATCAACCCTTAGTTTGTTCTCAGTTCTCAACAGTCTCTTATGCTTTGGCTCTCTCCCACTCTAACCTCTTTTTTTTTTTTTCCTTCCCCTCCCCCATGGGTTCCTGTTAAGTTTCTCAGGATCCACATAAGAGTGAAACCATATGGTATCCGTCTTTCTCTGTATGGCTTATT